TGGTATATTGGTTTGAATTTGTCCGAATTAGCCCGATCGGAAAATGTCGAAGGGTGATTTTCCTAGCAAAGATCCCACATAGTTAAAATAGTAAATTTTCTCTTTTTTTATTATTTATATATAATTTATTGTTGAAATTCAAATTTTATAAATATCCAAGGTTTTTTTTTATTAAATAATTTTTTGGTTATACTTATGTATATTTAACTACGTATTACTAATTCTGTATAATTAAAAAATATATGTACGTACGTACGTACAGTACGTACGTACAGTACGTACATAAAAATTGGCAATTATATAAAAAGTACACTTTATGTTATAGTCATGCTATGCTTTAGCTATGTATTATAAAAGCATATTAAATTTGACTCTTATATAGTCACAACTTTTTTAATCACCAATTTTTGTTTTCAAACTGGTGATTATACCAATGTTTTTTTTTTTTTTAAAAAAAAAAAACTTTATACATACAATAATGTAAAATTATACAAGATAGTCAACTACATACTAAAACTTGATACGTATTATGTCAGTACGTACGCATAAAAGAATTTTTTTAAAATATGTAATAAATACAAAATATCCGAAAAATTAAATTCATGAAGCTACCACGTTTTTATAGAGTAATTTTTAATGTTCTGATGAAAGTTCATTGTAACGGTAAGTTATAAAGTTGGCGTGCAGGCCCCTGCATAGTTAATACAGCGCTCTTGTACATCCGAATTATGCGATTTTATTGGTCAATTGCAATCTCGAAAAAGTTAGAGAAAGTTAGAACATTTCGCGTGATTATGTTTCTGGCATCATACTATACCTTCTAACAATCTGATAATTTGATTCTAACCGTAATATGCGTCATCAAATTATGATTTAATTAGGCCCATCTCAAGTGACACAGAATTTCCATTTTGTGTAACATTCTTGTTTCGCCATGCTAACGGGGCTACATTCCATTTGAATTATGGTAATGTGCATTGTGTGCACGTTGATTTGATCATCTGAGAGCACATAAATTCCGAAACGAAAATATAAACATCATATGATTCTAACTCATTCGGTGGCTCTTTTATCAGTATCAGTATTATACCATTCTACTTCTTTCGTGGTTAGTGGCATTAAATTTGTTGGTATAGTTTCTTTAGTTATAGTATACTTATTGCTGAAACTGTTAATGTTCAATACTGGAAGTAAAAAGTTAATTTTATCTATTTTGGGATTCGGTTCTTGTGATCAAAAAATCCGGTGTGTTCAATACAGTAAATGGTTCACACTACAGCAGTCACCACTATGAAGGCCAAAAAACAAGCCGGTAAAAAAGTAACAAAAATTGTTAGCACATCCGTGATTCCGCTCTCACAGCAACAACACGTACAACAACAGCAGCAGCCCACTAATAATCAAAGTTCGCTATCTATATCCCGTAATAAGCATTGGAAATATATCTCGTCTTATCATGGACCGTGGCTTCAGCTTCCTTTGGAACTGCTCGAGTCGCTTTATATGATTAATAATGATAATGTTGCCACCCCGCCACCACCAATTGATCCTATCATTTTTGGTAATTTGATATCAATTCGTCGATTAGTCGATGAGGCAGCTGATTTGTCAGTTCGGGCCGCTTCAGGTGTATCAACTACCGGAGGAGGACCGACAAGAAGCTCAATGTCTCACACACGGCAGCATAGAATGCGTGAACTTGCAGTTAATAAATTAGCACTTGCGTATCGAATTGATGAAATTGCTACCGCGGTGGTAACAATGCAGTCAGCTAGTGCAATTGACGAAGTTGCTAGTAGAGTTTTGAAGAAAAATTCAACGAATTTAGAGGCGTTATATGTGAATTTTTTTCATGAAAAAATTCCATCGAGGTAAATATAAATTTAAAACGAAGATAGAGTTCGATTCTTTTCTTAATTGTTTCATAAATATGGGAACAAAGAATTGTAAAGAATGCAGAACTGATTTGATGTAGTAATATAGATAAAAAATGGCTTGGTACGGTGGATTTCCCAAAAATTTGGCACCCAACCTAATACTTTGCACCACTTTTTATCCACCATATACAAGTAGAATGCTATCGCAATCTACATCCACTGACATACTCGATAAGATCATTGCCACTTCTCCGATGACTCCCGAATTTTATCGTACGCGTGGTGTTGTGAAGTGTTTTAAAGAAGAATTTACTGGCGCTCTTCGAGATTTCAAAACGGCTTTAGCACATACAAAACACAGAAAACGAGTAAATAACGTTTTGTTAGGGAAAAAAACAACACTTCCACTCCATAACCACCATGGCAATGAGGATGACGAATGTACAGGGACCGAGAGCCAATTATACTTTCTGCGCGCCGCGTGTTATTTACAATATGCTATTAGCTTAGTAGATAAAGCACTCCAAAAAGTTGACGGGGTAGAACGTAAAGATGGTGAAGGAAGTGAATTGAGATTAGTAGCAGTTAAAAAAGGTAACAATGGAACCAATAATCAAGGCTCTACTCCAAAACTCGAAGAATATAGAAAAGAACTACTGCCAATAATGCATCAAGTACAAAGTTTGACAAAACGTTCAATAAGAGATTATACTCATTTTT